CAGGATCACGCCAAAATTCTGCGCTGGATTTGTATCCATCACTTGATAATGACTTCCCAATTCAAAATCAATGGCTGTGATCTGTCTCACCATGCCACTTCTGATGAACTCATGTGTACTGTATCCAATGGTCAATATATAGTATACAAATTAATGAATCAACGACGCGTGTATATATTTTGTTGGTATATATAGATATTATGTTTGTAATATATGTTATTTGAATATAGCAGAATATGGTAAACAATAAAATATGTATTTTTTTTTTAAGTATTTAACATAAGTGTATATACGTAATTTAAATTTGAGACTATTGACTACCTTGATACATAGTAACATGGGATCTAGATTTTTTCATACTTAACCCTTAATTAGTATAAGAGAGAATATTTAAATATTAATAAAAGATACAAAGTTTTAAATATATAATACTATGATTGTTATTCATTCAACAAATTTTACACACAATTGATATCAAACATAATTTCTTTATCTAATAAATCGTCTTCATAATATATAATATACGAATACTAATCATGAATTATAAACAATAATGTAAATGGTATGATATGTGTTGGTTTGGATTAATTTTCTTTGAGTTGCTTAGACAACCAAAACAAAAAGTCACTGACCACACAAACTCATCACATACTTACCATAAAATTTGTCTCGGTACAAAACTACACATCAAGGTCACATGAGTTCACAAGAATCGCGTTTCTTTTCATGAGCATTTGTCCACTTAAAGTTCAGCTTTTTTACTTACTACTGAATTAATAATCATTTGCAAAAGAAGCTCACAAGTTACTCACATGGAACTCTCTATGTCATAAATGACAAGATGCCGTTGAAGCAAAAGCCCTACCTAACATACGTGGTACATTTATCAATTACCATAAACTTAGTCATGTTTTCTGATAAAAACTAACGTTCAGATTGAGAAAGAAAGTTAAACTGTCCATCGCAGCGAAAGCAACAGATGATTTAACTATCATTTAGCCGCATATATAATAATATTATTATCCATGTATATGGATTTGACAATAGATAATTAATTAACGAGTTTATCATCTTGGAAAGTACAGTATAATCATGACAAAGATAGGAATTTCCATATCATGTCCTACTTGCTGATGAGGAAACAGAAATTGACAATCTAAGCGCCATAATTTCAAAAAAAGAAAAAAAAAATTATTTTTATTTTATTCTTTTCTTTTAAAAATTTATAAGAATAAGTGAAAACAAAATGAGAATAAGAGAAAATTATACACACATTTCTCAAAGTCTTCTTATATATACTAATTAATTTAATAAAGTGTCACTCTTCTTGATTAGGAAATCTGAATACTTTAAAAAAATTAAGTGTCATTCAAGAAGACTAATTCTCTCTAAATATAAGGTTGCAATTGTATAATGACATATAATCTATAAATAAATAAAATAGATATAAAATGTTTGCTAAAAGTTAAGTTTAAATATACCAATATGTTAATGTTAGTCGAACTGCATTTAAATATTTTATTTATAAAATAATGCTTTATTTTAATAAAACAGACAGTTTCTTTTACTTTTATTTAAATTTGTATTTTTAAACATTTTTGAATATGTAGATTTTTTATTATTTTTTTTAAAAAAAAGTAACTTTACAAATCACTTCTTTTAAACACTTTTTTTTTTAATTTTAAACAAATTAACTCATTAATTATTAATAAAATCAATAAATATTTTATATCAGTATTTTAGTATATAAAATGCACAAATTAAATATTTATTATATAATAAATAAAATTTAAAATAAGTTATGTATATAAAAATATTATATTTAAATATATCAATTATATTTAATATTTAAATAAATAAATATATAATTTATATTATAACATATTCTTTTAATTTATTTATAGTTTAATTTAAAAATATTAAAATATAATTTGTATATAATTATGATAAATAAATATTAAATTAAATATGAAATTAAAAGAATTTTGTCATCTCATGAAAAAAAATATTTAAAAATATTTTTATGACTATTTATTTTTTAAATATAAGAATCGATTAATATCAACCTAATAATAAAATATTTTAATAATATATTAAAGATTTTAAATTTATATCTTGTTTAGTCAATAATGTTAAAAAAAAAGCACTAATTATATTTCACACACTTGTGTGACTTCCGCAAGCACATCGGCACACAGATTCGTAAGAGAGGGAGAGGAAGAAAGCAAAAACAATGAAAACCCACTATTCATTAAAATGTAAATAAATAATGTAAAATTTAATGTCCCTTATACTTTACCACCATTGTTTACATACAATTCATCACTAAAACTAATCAGGTGTTAGAATACGAAGAAGACGATGCTTCATCTACAGCTATAATCTCTCCCTTCGCTTGCGCCAAGGAAAAAGACGAACTAGCAGCACCAACCCCCTCTTCCTCATCCTCACCCTCCAAACAATACGCGCAGCGAGAGCTGCAAGAAGAGAGAGAACTGTAAAACGACACCGGAGAAGAGGGAGGAGAATGCAGTTCCAAACACGCCGAAGAAGAAAACGCGAGCCCGAACAACAAGTCAACGAACGCACCCACAATATACTCGTGGTTGTTTTTTCCGTTGACTTTTAGGTACCAGCACAGAAGCTCCTCGAGGCTCTCCCAGTCTCCCACGCCGTGCGTCTCCACCATCTCCTCCATGGACCTGCGGAAGTCTGCGTACGGGTCCAGCGAGTCCATCGACAAAACCACGCTGTTTTCGAACGGTGAGTGCGTCGGAGAGGGTTTGAATATGGAGCTCGTCTCGTCCGGTTCGAAGAAGAGCCGGTCCGACCGCAGACCGCGAATCACGGTCTCGATCGGATCCCAGGCCGCTTCCGAAGTTGCTGTCGAGAAGCTCGCGGAGTTTGGAGTCTCCGTGAAGAAAGACTCCGAGGTTTCTGTCGCGAACGTTTCAACAACATTGGTGACTTTTGAATTGACAACTGTGGTGGTAGTGGTGGTGGTAATTACTCTGAATGAGAGTGTTTTGGGCTGGTGGCAGGATGGCCAGGCCCATGATGATGAAGAGGAGGATCTTGCATTGCTAGGTTTTAGAAAAGAAAGAAACTTCATTTTTTTTTATTTGGGAAAAGTTTTGGGTTCAAATGAGTTTTAGAGGTTGGAAGATGGGAGTTAAGTCCATGGATGGTATTAATGGGAGGTCAGAAAATGAACTGTGTGGGGGAAAATTTTAAAGATGAAGTGGGACAAGTTGAGTATACGTTTGGGATTTCTTGGTGGGTCAACTTGATATATCTTTGTATTTAATATTTTCAGACTTGGAAATAAATGTAACTCAGTCCAATTTATTATTATAATCAGTTTTTTTATTTATTACTATGGATACTAGTGGTGTTTAGTTCTACACTCTGGACTGTAATAAAATTTTACATATAAAGAAAAATTAACACAATAATAGAGTAAATCACGTCTTTTGCTAAAGTGATAGTAAGGTTTATACCAATAAATAATTTAGTACTGATTATTATTGTAGGGTTGAAATTTTTAGTGCTGAAATAATATTGGATAAATGAAAAAATATATTTTACAAATATAAATTAATCTTTAGTTATAATAATTTTTATTATTATGTAACTAATAAGAAAAGTAATTATGAAAACAAATTCTCTCTGCATTAATTTTATTTTTCATGCGTTTTCTTAATCATATTTATGACCCTTTTTTCGAACGTTAACTTAATTGATTTCATAGTTCTCATTCATTTAAAATTGTGACTCAAAAACGAATATATTTACTATTTCATAAACATAATATTAATTTCAATTTAAAAGATCGTAATAAATCTTTTAAAAGATAAACGAATTTCTAAATAAATTAAAGGATTAAAACTTTTCTTAGCTTTAAATAAATTAAAAAAAATAGGTTTAAATATGTTTTTAGTCCCTCAAATTTAAGGTAAATTTATTTTTGGTCCCTTAAATTTAAAACTGTTATTTTTAGTCCCTATAATTTTTAAAAATCTTGTTTTAGTCATTCATGTTACCAATAATATATTTGAAAGTGACTAATTAAGACGGTTATGCAATATCAACAGAATTTAATGTGATATTTTCATTAATAGGGACACCAATAGGTAGATTTTATTCAATAATATTTGATAAATTTCTTAACAAAATTTGAATATAGGGACTAAAATAATTTTTTAAAAAATTACAAGTGCTAAAAACAACAATTTTAAATTTGAGGAACCAAAAATAAACTTACCCTAAATTTAAGGGACTAAAAATATATTTAAACCAAAAAAATATTAATGATACTCTTTGATGTTTTTTATTATTAGTTTAAAGTTATTTAAAAACTACAAATTTTAATGAAATAATCATTAAATAAGAAAAGAAACTCATGAACAAGATAGAAGTAAATAAATTCTTGCAAAATTTAATAACGTTATTATTTAAGCATTAAAACATTGCTCGTGTATATACAGAGACGAATCTATTAATATTATAGTGGGGATAAGTGTCCATACTACCATTTAATACACACATTATTTTTATCTAATATATATATATATATATATATAT